TGTGCTAAAAGTGTTGAACACACATTCTTGTCCTGGGAAATCTTTAATTAACTTCAAATGCTGACTACTGTATATCAGCATACTTTATTTCTCCACTTGTACATTTTAATAGAATACATTTAAATATAAAGGAGCTCACCTTACGCTTTTTGTGACAGACTTTGACAAGTAGCACCTCAAGTGAAACTGAGTTTTGTTCATTTTCTGAGTTTTGACATGGCTTAACTGTTAATGGAACAACATTTTATCAGAATCCTAAAAATAATGCTTGAATATGTGAAAATGGATGTTCAGCCACACTGACACATTTTCGACAGTTCAGACTCACCGTTCTTGTGAAAAAATCCAGTGAATGTCAGTTGCAGATGTGAGGTCAAACTAAAAAAAAATAAACCATTAAAATCATCATTTGTAACTGAATAATGCCATGACTACATTACGTTTGGTATACAGTTATCTATGAGATAAAACCCTCTAGAACACAATCAAAACATTTGAACTTCATCTATCAATTCAGTTAAAGAGCCCATATTATGGGTTTTTGAAAATTCCCCTCCATGTAGTGTGTAACACAGCTCTAAGTGAAGTAAAGTATCCAGATAAGGCTTAAATCTGTAAGAATACAGTGTTTAAAACGGTTGATTCATCTATAAAAGAGTCGACTCATAGTGCTTCAAACGAGTCGCCTTGATACTGATTCATTAGGTGTTTCGCCATGACGTACGAACGAAACCAAGTTATTCACGTGCACGCGCAAACCCGGGAGATTTCAAACCTGAGGCCCCGCCCTCTGACGCAGAAACCCAGACACACACACACACACACACCCACAAACACACGCACACACAAACATGCCGGTCAATTGAAGTCACACTGCAGATGGATACATTGAGTCTCTACCCAAAGATGAAACCTCAGCATTATAGCCAAGCAGTTGGAAACTACTGGAAACTTCTGGAAACTACATGCTACAAAGAATACTTCATCAGCGTTTGTTAAAGGAAGGATCAGTAAAGAGTAACTTAATGCTGGACGTCAGGATGGATTTTTCTTCCTCCATTTCTCAAGTGTAAGTATGTGCGATTAAAGTTGCCTCGTTTACTCTAGCTTGCAAATGTATTTAGTTGTGATTTGTTACTTGTAACCGAGTGTACTGTATCAGGTTAACTGGCTATATTCTCTTATCGCGTGCAAAGTCACGTTAAAAACGCGACACGTGCTGCTTTGTTAACGGAGCTCCGTGGACGAGGAGAAGTGTGTGTGTCTGTGTGTGCGTGTGCGCGCGCTGTCGTCCGGAGGTGTGTGTGTTTGTGTGTGTGTGTGCGCGCGCGCGCGCGTTGTCGTCCGGAGCAGGGTTAAGTGTGTGTGTGTGTGTGTGTCTGTGAAAAGAGCAGAGTGAGAAGCTAGGAGATCTCCTCAACTGTTTTTGGAGTTTTTGCTCAATAAAATAGTTAGTCGTCTGAATTTTCAAGTCCATAGTCTGTATTTACATTGACCCACTGGCAGCTAAAATCCACGCCTACACTATCGAGCGTGCATGAACTGTGATTACTTTTATATTGCTCATTAGCTGTTTGGCCTTTTACTCTCTGACTGAAGGCAGTCGACCAATCGCAACAGGCTGTCATTGGTCCAATCAGCGCAGATTAGCTTCGCGCTAAGGAGGGGTTTGGGAACAAATGAATTACTGGACGATTCATACGGGAGTCGCTGGGATAATTAGGTAAAAATAAATGCAGATTATAAGACCATGAAAGTGTTTTTTTGACCTTGCATGCATATTAAACTGTTGTTGGAGACCCTTACAACCAAGATATGACCCTATTTCATGTATAATATGGGCTCTTTAAGGGACTTCCGAGAGGAAAAAAAATAACGCTCAGCGCACTAGACTAATCTACCAGATGCAACGACCCAACAAAATAAAATGCAAACTTACTAGCCTAATGTGAGTAATTTATATAACCTGATATAAAAAAAAATAAATAAAAATGAATAAACCTCTGAATGCATGCTCATTGAAAATTAAACATCATGTCAGGAGTCCCCTTTTTAACAATCATTGAGTTTACTTTCACTGTAACTGTATAAAATAGTGTAAGTTATGTTATTATTATCATAAAAGTCTTGTATGGAATTATAAATAGAACTTGTGAAATTTGATCTTTAAATGACAAGTTTCTTCTTTAGCATTTTTATATCCTATAATTATAATTATAATAAGGTTAAATAGGTTACTAACCTTCAACTTCAACCAATTTTAATTGTAAATCCATTCTTTTTGTGAAAAAAATATGGTTTTTTTTTAAAGGCCATATTGCCAGGCCCTAGTTTGGGGTGACTGCAGTCTAATTTTGAGGTAATGTCACATGTACGACTGCAGTACACAAGTACAACTCAGTATAGCTATTGACCTAAGCAGCAAAACAAGTTATTCATCCAGGTATAACAAAAAATACCTATATTGCTTCATTGTGTGTGTGTGTGTGTGTGTGTGTGTGTGTGTGTGTGTGTGTGTGTGTGTTATGAGTAAACAATGTTTTAAACAAAATTGAACTGCAAAGGTATGCTGGTTAAGGTAACAGATAGAAGATTAATTAGCTTTCATTTAATTCAACAAAATTAATAAACACATGACCACGGCAACATATGGTTTATCCGAGTTCTTCTTACATAATTTTCCTGATAAAGTATGATGCAATGCCTTTGTCACTACTTGTTAGAATGTTATTATGAAATATGTTGCATGCTTTATTCTGTGAAAGAAAGACATCATTTTGCAGTTTTGAGTCAATGGGCCATAGGTCACTGAGAATCTACACAAACAGCAATCGATATCACAGATTGATTATTTGCAATTTGACTAAATCGCATGCTATATTTTGAATAGCTATGACTGTGTAGTAAAGGCTGCTCAGACTCACAACACGTGCTGGAAAACTACAGCTCATTACAGAGCTGGCTTTTTAGACAAATGCACACAACAATCGCATGTGATTTTTTATTCAGCCCTAGTGTATGTGTAGTTTTAAATGTTAAACGTGTAATGATTTAAAATCTTAAATTATTTAAAAAGTTGTGTAGTTCACATCTTTAAACTCATATTTGTGTGAGACCACAGCATGCATAGTAGAAGAGCAATACCTCGGAGACTCAGGCTCTCCTTTCATTTTCTCCACACTGGACAGCAAGTCGTCAACTTTAAATGATTTCCTGAATAAAACCCAGTTTATTTATTAAACACGCTTTACAAACACACAAGTTATTAAAATACGGCACACCTATTCTGATTTTCTGATGTCAACCATTAATATATTAATAAAACCCACCTTTTGGCATTTGTTCGTGAGTTTCTATGTGACATGAAGGTGAGGGTCCTGTGAAGCAATACAGGCTGTGAAAGTACAAGAAAAAAATATATCAACAATCAGAGCCACCACACAATAATGTGAATTAAATCTACTGAAAAAAAAATACGTACAGTTATCAGATTCCTTGTTCGCAGAAACCTGTATATTTGAGTCGGTTCTGAAATGAAACATGCAGAAAATATATCATATACTTTTATTTTCAACATTTTCTCTACAAAAACTGCCTATCTGTTGCTTTACAAATCTCATTTACACTTAACTTTTTAGTTTTGCATACATTGGTAAATTTCTTGTTACTATTTTTAACAATAAACACTGCCTCATGTACACACTCATAGGAACACAACAGTGATAGATCCAAGGATGCATCCACACCACATCTAGTAGCAGTAACACACAACAGCACGTTGTCATGAACTGGGTGTGTCAATGGAACGTTAATAGGAAAAGCTAATGAATTTACTTAACGTGTTAAATGAAACAGCTGTTGACTTACTCTCAAAGGCCTGCAGAAAGAGCTCATGGTCGGCCTGCAACTGTTCAATCTTAGGTTTCTTGAGTGAGCTCACGCCAGAAGATGGGTATACAGCACCATTGGCTTTAGAGTTCATCACCTGAGCCGAATATTTCTGAGGAGCCATGATAATATACTAACAACTAATGGGAAGTCCAAAACGCATCAAAACAACACCAGGCGAAAAGATTATCTGCACATTAATGACAGACAGTCGCCCTCGCCCCTTTGACCAGCTCTCTACCATCACCTAAACATCAGCTACTTGTGGTTTAGTTTCTTTGACAAGTGCATGTTTGAATGTGGCTCAAATGAGTAAACCATACGAGTTGTAAATATGTTTACTGATGTATGCCCTCGATCTGGTCACTGATCCTCAACAGATTAGCACGTTAGCTTGCGGTCCTTAAGAGCGACGAAAACACAGTTCAACGACACCGGGTAATCCATACACACAGGCAGAAGTTCACGTTCCAATTTGAACAAAGGTTATGGATTATTGAATACTTATTTTCTACCGAAATTGTATTTATTTTGACGGGAAACCCGACCAAGTGACGGATACGGATACTTGTGTATCGCCCGAGCCCTTGAGGAGAGTGCCGCGAAAACCCGCCCACTGCAATGTTTTAGCCAATCAGAGATGCCGTCTGGTAAAATCGAAGTTTTTTATTGGATAGACTTATTTTGATAGACGTGAGATTAAGATTGGTAGAGGAGACAAATTGCCGCCAAGAATGTTTTGGTTCTGGGGAGAGGATCGGTCACGGTGCAGTAGCACGGGTTACAGCCTGAATACAGTCATAAACATACAGCAGTCAACACTTGAAGTAAATCAAAAAAGTTTATCAATATTGAAAACAAGAATGTGTTGTTTAATAGTTTTAGGGCAACTTTGAAAGATTTGAACCCCTTCCAAGATTTACTCCTGCATGCATGTTTTATATATGTGCGTGAGGTACTAAGTAAGTTAAAGGAACCTTAAGTTAAGGAAAAACAAATGTATTAATGTTCTGAATTATAACGTTCCCATAAAACTATTTTTTTAAATAAAAACCGTGGAACCAAAATTCAAGTGCAGAATTCATGTCGGATTTTTTAACCGATGAACATCCGGATGTAGAGCATTTGACAACTTCCTGTCCACACGTGTTTTGGGATGTAATTGCGCTGTGCATCTTAAGTATTTTGTAAAGCGTCCCATAACCTGTTTTAGAAATGGCAGACATTGTACAACAACGATTAGAGGACAGAATACCAGGGCTTGAACAACTGGAGAGAGTCGGTTTGTTTACCAATAAAGAAGTCAAGTGAGTATATCACTCGTGTTCATGCGAACAGAAAAGATGGATTGAAATGGTGCTTCTGTAGAGAGAAAGTTTCCTCAAAAAGGGCTTTTGTTTCAGGTCCATGTTGAAAAGATCTACTGCACTTGAATATAAGCTACACCGAGCAATTCAGTGTAAAGATGACTTCATTACATACATACAGGTCAGTATTAACAAATAGCTTTTTGCACTTTAATGTAAGAAATCAGCACATTATGACCTTGTTTTTTTATCCTTGTAAAATCAGTTCGAAATAAACACTCTTGAACTTATCAAGAAGAGGAGAGCGGTGAGTTGAAATCTGTTCTGTTATTTATTTATTTTGAAATCTGCTTCTTTCAGTAATCAGAACAGCAGACCTAACTAACTTGTGTTACTTTAAGTGAGATGTACTGTTCTGCTTTCAGAGAATTGGTTACCATTTTAAACGTGAAGAAATTGAGTATCCCATCATTCAGGGCATAAACAGTGTTTTCAGAAGGGCGACAAGCAAATGGCAGGTTGGGCAATAAGAAATGATAACCTCAGTTTTAGATTCATTGTGATGGTCAGTTTTTGATTCAAATGTATTTTTGATTCCATTAAATGCTTCTCCTGTAGGAAGATGTGCAACTCTGGCTTTCTCATGTTGCCTTTAATAAGAAATGGGTATGTGCTTTTGTTATTAAATGCAAAAAACCTTATCAATTTTAAAGAAATAAAAATAGAAAGAAAGAAAGAAATAATAACGCAAATGTGTTTGTCTTTAAAAAAAAATCCTAATCTTTTTTTTTTTTTTTTGTCTTTCAACAAGGGCTCAAAGACTCAGCTCAGCAAGATTTTGTTATCTATGTTAGCTATCCATCCTGACAAACCAGGTAAACTTAAGTAAATTAGAAGTTTAGGGGTTGGGTTTACTGTCAATCATTAATATTATTGTAGTTTAGATGTATAAGCAGCTTTATACACATGGCTAGAAATAAAGTTTTTGGCGTTTTCTTGCAGCTCTGTGGATAATGGCTGCTAAATGTGAAATGGAGGACAGGAACTCCTCAGAGAGTGCCCGGCATCTTTTCCTCCGTGCCCTTCGCTTTCATCCAGAAAATAAGAAAGTCTACCTGGAGGTGAGGCAACATTATTTTTAAGCAACCAATGCTATAAACATTACACTTTGAATCTCATATATACATAAAACAAACCATTGTATGTGTGTACAGTATTTCCGGATGGAGCTCATGCATGCTGAGAAGATGAGGAAACAGCAACAGGAACTGGAGCAAGCTAAAATAGATGTGGTAGGTTAAAAAGGTGTACATCTGGAGTCCTTGCCTTTTTGAAAATAAAATGCATATTTTAATTCATAAAACATCTTTTCTAAATTCAGGGGGAATATCAGTTTTCTCCAGAAATCTTGAGTGGAAAACTTGCTGAAGTGATATACAGAGATGCTGCACAGAAAATTAAAGGTTGGCTAAATTTCCACATAACTGTTTAATAGTATCAGCTGTGTGTTGTTATAATGTGCTTATTTGTCTTGTCATCAGGGGCCGAATTCGTCTTGTCCCTGCTACAGATCGCTGCCATCTTTGACTTCACAAAGGACCTACAAGACAAGATCCTGCAAGAGTACTGAGCCGTTTCCCCTTTTGCCTTTTTACGTCTATATTGGCAATATGCAATCATGAAAATTTCTTTCTCAGACAACATGACATTGGAATTCTCTCTGTTCAGTCTGCAGAGTCAATATAGCGATGATTGCCTGATGTGGGATTTCATGGCCAAGCGTGAGCTGGATTCTGCTGGTGCTCCAGAGCTGCAGTCTGCGAAAGGAAGAGCTTCTGATACAGACCGCAGGGAAGAGCGCTGCTGCTTAGTTTATGAGGAGGCTCTAAAGAGCTTAAATTCTGGTAATTATAATGCAACAGGGACTTGTTCAGAATTTGCATATAAAAATGCTCAGTTAGAATTCAGGGATGGAAGAAGAGTATATTTTATTGTTCTATGCATATTAATGTGCTATTTATTCTTTTGTAGAGGCCATGTGGACATGCTATGTCACATTTTGTTTTGAGAGATATAAGAGAAAGACAAATGTCACTGAACTCAAGGAAAAGGTAACAAATCTGGTATTTTATTTATTTGTTTACAAAGTAATACCCAGGCTCTGTTTTTCGTTCCCAACTTAAAAGATCTAAGACAGGATTGTCCAAGTTCTGTCCTGGAGGGCCAGTGTCCTGCATAGTTTAGCTCCAATTTCCTTCAAAACACTTGCTTGGAAGTTTTAGTTTACCTAGAAAGAGCTTGATTAGCTTGTTAAGTTGTGGTTAATTGAGGTTGGGACTAAAATATGCAGGACACTGGCCCTCCAGGACCGAGTCTAAGAGAATTCGGCAGATCCTGGATCTTTTAATCTTGATCACTGATCTCTGACTAATTTGTTTAATTAATCAAGTTTGTGAATCAGATAAAAAAATTTGGATGAATTGATCTGAGACTACTCTATGAGCTTGTGTTTGTTGTAGTAAATGAACAGTGTATTAATGGTATGCAAGAGCTGTCTACGTTTGGTGGCTTTACAAATTTTTTTTATGTCAACAATTTAGCAATTTAACTTTTTTACATTAGAGAGGATTTTCTTCAGGATGGTATCAAGTTTCAAAATTTTGTGGTTTAAGGCATAACCAGTTATTTAATTTAGCATTTTAATTTTTGAGATGTGTCTGCATCTACTGTGCTCCATCAAAGCATCAGCATATTAGCTCTCAACATTACTGTTAATTATGCTGTAAATTATGTAAGTATTCAATTACAAAAAAAAGAAAGCGAAATGTCTCATGAGAATATTGTTTGTTTTTTTATCGTATACTCTTAGAAATAGCACTAAACAGGTAGAGTGACTTTTCCAAGTGTGAGTTTACATCTAAAAGGACCATGTTGCTGTCTTGCTAAGTACCTAAAGTGTACATATTAGTCACTTAAAAAGTAGAAACGTGCTCTCTTTGAACCCATTGAAATGGTACCACCCTGTGACCTTGTTAATATCTTATATTGCGAAGAGTAGATTACATAAGTTTAAACAAACATTTATTTCTGATTTATTTCCAAAAAATATCTATTTTCCCCTATTTGTTACAGTACTCTGAGAACATATCAGCAGTTGGTAAAATACATTCTTTCAGTATCACCTACGCTTGAAATGTTTATATGAAATAAGAGTGCTCCTGGAAGAACTATACTGTCCTGGATTGTGCCAAATTGTCAATAATAGGATCCAGCTTACTGAGTAATAAATGTATAAAGAATGGACCCCGATTTTGCAGATTAAATTCACAGCAAACACATCTTTTTAGTAGGTTTGTCATCAGGCCAATTAGTAAGCAACAGTTAAAGGTACAGAAGGTGATCTTCCACAATGCTAACAGCTTAGCATAAATCTCTGAATCACAGTCGCTCCCCTCCCATCTAGAGCCACGCCTCCTGAAACACGAGCACCGCAAAAGAACCCTGTCTTATGTGTTAAAAGCCACTAGTGCTTGTCCGGTGGCGTGCAAGCCAAACTGACATGCTATTTCAGAGCAAATATTTAGAGTTGCAAGGTAAACAATATAGGGAGAGGCAAGGCGGAATAGCGGTATTTACTTGTGTTTTGTTGTTAAACTAATCAAAATCCTTATCAGTCTTATCAGTCTTTCACCGAAAGATTATAGTAGCTGAACAACACTTCTGTGAAGATATAACCCATTTGTAAGAACAACATCTAACATTACATCAGCTTTGCGTGAAGCTGAAACAGTTTTAAAACAGAACATTACCTGTCTAAGAGAAATCCTTCAGACATGGTGTCATTCTCTCTCCAGCGTGCAAAGTTAACTCCAATATTGATTCAGGTTTTTAAAAAGTTTTGCTTTAGCATGTTTTTACCGATTGCGCACGCGCTCTCTCTTTCGTGAACGTGCGGCGGTTGGCAGAGCTGCGTACAAACGGCTGCGCAGTTGTTCAAATCTGCATTTGCTGACAGACAGATTAGGCTACTTATCGGAATTATGAGATGCCGGTCCGACTCTATTTAATTGGATGAACATTTTTTGTTTTATGCCTTACCCAAAATATAAAAATACATATAAATACATTTAAATCATTTACTGTAATCATCACTGTTAGACTGTGAAAATACTTTCAACCAGCACAACAAAAAATGCTTCTAAAGACAATCACCTATTGCACCAGTGCATACCAATGAAGTGTAGACGATTAGCTCAATTTTTAATTGAAGGAAAGAAATTGTTATAGAGTTAAAAATAAATCAATTATTCATGTTTTATTTTAGATCATTCACAGAAGTGGGTTGGTATTTGTCAGTTTTATTTTTAGGTTGTCATGTTGTTTTGAATTCAGAGTTTAGGTCTTTAATTTATTGTAACTCTTCTTTGTCAGAGAAAGGAACGATTACTCCGAGTCCTACAAAGTGCTCACGATGCACAGCTTTTGCAGGAGACTTTCTACAAGAACTGGGTAATGCAGTCAACAGTTGTCATAGAAATACCTTTTTCTTACCCACCCTTTATGCAGCAGTGAGTTAAAATGGTGTTTGTAATGTAGGCCACTTTCATCCCCTCAAAACACAGCTCCAGGTCCTGCTGTCATCGGGGGATACAATAACTGCTACCCAGATCGCCACCACAGCAGCCCAGCGATTCAGCCAATCAGTGGAAATGTGGAGCTTCAGCCTCCAGACATTGGTCCATCTGAAAAGTCCAGAGGCGGGACCTTTATTTCAGGAAGCTCTAAAACACATCAGTCTCAAGGTAGAAGTTGTGCCACAGCTGACTCTAAGTGGGACATCGTACTGCAATAACTGACTTGCTCTAATTAGTCAACGTTAATAAATTGTCTTCTGTAGTTATTTGGATTTTTTTTTTCTTTAGTGGGCTATAGCAAAGCAATACAAGTAACCCTTAAATGTAGCTTAGTGACTTTTACAATTTATCATTCAACACATTCCCTGGAAATCAAACTCCACAGCTTGTTGCTGCTAGCACTACACTCTACTCTTTGAGCTACAGTAACGTTATTGCCAAAAATATAACTAGTAAAAGTTTTTCCTCTGCTTTGAAAATTCAGTCCTGCACGTTTATTATCCAAAGCACTGTTTAGTAAATCAGCTAGTGAGAAGTTGCCACGTGTACAGGATTATGAGTCCTGTTGTTGTATAACTCCACAAAGACGTCCAATCACAGTGTAACATGAGGCTATCCAGATTTTTCTTATGCCTTGTGATGCTGTGCATGAATAATGGCTATAAAAAAACTATTTCAGCCAAGTATTAAAAAAAAGGCTTTACAAGTTACAGTTAAATGTATCATACGTAATAAAATATTGTTCGGTGGAGTCGATGCTCATTTTTTTTCATCAATTATATTATCAACTGTAATTGAATCTTATAAGTTCTCCATCAAGTGTGACTTTTTTGGGGGGGAAAACTTAAAAACCTTTTCTTAAATTCCATTCTTATGTCATTTTAGATAAAAGTGTGAAATATGAATGTATGTATAATTAATGACAAAGAAAATATTTAATAATAGTTGCAATCCTTATAGTTGTAATCCTGGTCATATCTGAAGATCAGACCCTATTATGTCTAACCATCTGTATATATGTTCAACAGGAAAGTCTGGCAATATGGCAGATGCAGGCTGATTGGAGTATGGCCTCGCAAACGCCAAAAGAAACGGAAGCATTCTTTCAGGTGGGACATGATATAAAAGTTTTTTTTTCTACAAAACTCCTGCAAGATGAGTCAACAATGTTGAAAATATTTCTGTCTGTCTATGCGTGTTATTTACCAAATTTATATTGATATGATTTGCATCTTAGTAGTACACAAATAATAATGCATCACATTATTTGGTTTCACCTAATCCTATATTTGCAGAAAGGGATCTTGTCCCCAGTTCCTGCAGTGTCAGCTGCCATAAAGGAAAAATACCTTGAATGGTCATACAAAACTGGTGGTTACAAAAGGGCCAGAAAAACCTTCGTAAGGTACACATTAAAATGGCAGAGAGGCTGAGGAAACAAGCAAAATGCTTTTGTCATTTTTCTGATTTAATGGAATTATTTTCATCACATATTATCTTTTTTTTTCAGCTTACATGAACACAGACCCTTTACTAAGGAATTCTTCCTGCAGATGATTCAGATTGAGAAAGAGCAGGTGAATTGATGTAGCACTTGTGGGATATTTTATGTATAGTAGCCTGTTAGGTAATCTCTAACATTTTACACTTTTATTTAATAACATACTCAGGAGACTCCAAAGATGAGTAACCTTAGAGATTGCTACGAGCGAGTGCTTCGTGAGTTTGGCTCTTCAGATGAAAGTGAGTGTGATTGATTGATTTGCTTTTAGCCTTTTAAATCCCTTTCATGTTTTCACATATTTCACTGAACAAGGAAAATAATTTGTTTAGGTCTCTGGATTGACTACATTAAGGAAGAGTTGGGAAGGCATGGTAACCCAGAGAACTGCGGAAAAATCCACTGGAGGGCTGTTAAGACCCTTGATGGAGAAAGTGTTGAGCGTTTTACCACTCTGTACACATTGCTGCAGACTGGCAACATTTAAATTCTGTATGATTCTTTAATACATAGCTGTGTTCATGTCTGGAGCACAAATGCTGGATTAGTAAAGGCAAACCTAAAACTTCTTTGGTGCATAAATTTGTACTTTCCTGTACCTTCAGAAATAAACATTTTATCTTGTTGTTGTTGTCTTGAAATACTTTGTATTGTGGTACATCCTGGCTTTCATCAACACACCAAGCAAATGCAAACAATCAAACTCGAAACGGCAGTGAAATTGTGTAAGCTGTAGAAGGTAGCATCAATTCAGTCAGAATAATCTGAATTTTAGACTAAATAGATCAGGGATGAGTAAACTTGATCCTGGAGGACCAGAAAAGTTGCTCCAACATTAATCAAACACATCTGAACAAACTAATCAGTGACTTGCAGAAGTCAGTGGAGCAGAACTTTGAAGGATACCGGCCTGCCAGGATCAAGTTTGCCCATGCTTAATCCAGACAATTGGCTGTTATTGAACAGATGACCCATTTTATTTTCCTTCAGTAAATAAATTGTAAGAGTAAAAATTAAATAAAGAAAAAACACATTGTGCTTTACTGATTTCACAATTAAATGTCAAAGTACTAAGCCTGACACCTACAAGTAGTCAAATATATCATGAATAAGGACACTTTATGAATTTAATCTGTCACTGATTTATTTTATTAACAAATAACAATTGATTTGGTAAAAGGTTGTGTGAGATGTTAGCATGAAGCTGTCCTTAGCCATTCAGTTAAATATGGTTTTAAAGTCCCATGTACTAAAGCTGACTCCATTTACAACAGCAGCAAACAGGTTAAATTGCCTGCTGATCCAGTGGTTATTTTTTGTGTTTGTGTAGCTTTCACCAGCTTACATTTAAAACCTTAAACAGGTACAATCCCTGAATCCTTCCTTTTGCCATAATGGAAAATAGTAGCATTTTTTGTTTTGTTTTTACCAGATCACATTGACTTCAAAGTCATAAAAATTAGGGAGAATCAGAAAAGTTAAGTCATGGATTAGGTAAAAGACAAGCTTTAAAGAAGATGTTAAAATCCCTTTTAGGTGAGCTTGACACAAACATGTTACCATGGTCTCCCCTGTTGTCTATGTGGCTTTGTAAAAGTCCTGAGTCAGTGCTTCCTTAGCAGAATATAGGTGAAAAGTGCTACAAGTCCAGCAGACAGCAGGCCGATGACACACTGGTGGATGGTTATGGCACTCTCCAGTGAGTGGATGCGTTCCTCCATAGCACTCGTGTGGATGTAGTCATAGATTGAAGCCCCGATGCTCCACACTGCCCAAACTGCATCCACCAATGCCCTCATTGTGGGAGACACCATTGAGTGTGCGGCTTCCCCACAGTGTGGGATCCTCACTCACCTGCCTCCCCCTGAGAGACGGAATCACAAGAAGAAACGAGCTGATCATAGATAGCAGAATAATGTTTTGATTTGAGAAAAACAATACAAGGGTGCATGCTAAAATTGAAATGTTTGACATGAACACAGATAGCATGAGGCAACACGGTGGTGCAGTGGGAAGCACAATAGCCTCACAGCAAAAAGATCGCTGGTTTGAGCCACGGCTGGGTCAGTTGACATTTCTGTGTGGAGTTTGCATGTTTTAGTGTTGGTGTGGATTTCTTCCGGGTGCTCCGGTTTTCCCCACAAGTCCAAAGACATGCGGTATAGGTAAATTAGGTTAGACAAATTGGCCGTAGTGTATGTATGTGGGTGTGTATGGGTGTTTCCCAGTGATGGGTTGAAGCCGGAAGGACATCCGCTGCGTAAAACGTATGCTGGATAAGTTGGCAGTTTATTCCACTATGGTCATCTCAGGTTAATAAAGGGAATAAGCCAAAAAGAAAATGAATGAATGAGCAGTTAGCATGAGAGGTAGGGCTGCACAATATTAGAAAAATCGGACATTGCCATATTCTGTTTTTCTGCGCTATACAATTCTCCCCAGATGAGATGAATAGCTTTATTCAATAATTTAGATTGATTGAGATGGCATTCTTTATGTAGTACATCTGCATAATATAAAATAAATTACAATGATATATAAATTTAACAAAGCAAAGATAAAATTGCAACAAATAAAATGGATTTATGGGGACTACCTGAATAATGTTCAGGTACTGAAACAATAAGAAAATTCGAATGTAAAATTATAAACTCTTTACTGTATCAATCATTAAAAAAACATTTTATTAAAGTTTTAAACGATACTATTTTATTGTAAATACATGCTTTAAACTCCTGAAATTCTCAAACAGTCAAAGTACTTAAAATAATTTGCTCTATTATGGATAAACTGCACTTGCTCTTCAAAGCTCATCGCCTGTTCTGAAGTGTCTGATCAACTATATAACCAACTCAAGATTGCACATCCTGCGATGTGACACTGCGATATCTGAAATGATATACTGTGCAGACCTAATACGAGAAGACCAACACAGCTGACACACTACAGTTTTCAAGCATCTCTTAACCTTACTAACTCCTCACTGTTTACTAGAGAGATTACAGTGTGTTTAGGACAACATTTGAGCCTTTGCCTATCAATCCGTTTAAAAGGAACTGTAAACTACATATATTGTACACATGTTGTATGGACCCTCCCTCATTTATTTTTAATCATATTATTATTATTATTTTTATTATCCACACAATGGAAGTAAACTTATAACATAACTATTTGGTAACTAAACATTCCATCTTCAATCTTGTGTTTTACAGTTAATCAACTTACAGGGAACATAATTTTATATTGAAATGCATTTGAGAAAGGACACGAGGTTGTATATTTTTGCATCACAACAAATAAAGACACTGTTAATTCTAGCTACACTATTATTTTGTGACTGTAGAATGAGACTATAATGTCATTATAAGAGCAGCTGCACAATTGTTTTCGGTTAATTTGCATTTTTAAAATAGTTAATGAAACAAATAACACGTCTTTGCTGTTGGTGCGTTCATTACCTTTCTTATATAAATACACAATAGCAATATGCATTCTGCGTCACCCAAAGAAATCTTGCAAATGAAAAGAGATGATGTTTGATTATATTGTGTTAGTGGCTATTATAGCGTAATAGTGTTTTATACTGTTACTGTATGTACACATGACTGAGCCCAGGTAGGCTACATCAGGCAACTCTTCATATTTACAAGTATAACGAAGTGTGAGCCATTCGTGTTTACATAGCGTGACATGGCATCTTTCACAACAATATCAACGTTTTAACCTTAATTTTAAACACAATAGAGTAATACTGTCGACGTAATCATCAATTTAAAATAGCCACGAGAGACAGCAAGTTACAACAACTTTGCACTGATTTACAGGCCATTTTCTGCCTATAAGGCCAGGCATATATCTCTCAATTGGCAAAATCCCCATCCATGCTGCTTTGAATTCAATATATGTGATCTAGTATTAGAGAGGTTCTGGTGGAGGCATAAAAAGACATTTTATAAATGATGAACGGCGTCAGACATGCACAGGCAAACATAATCATCAGCTGACATCCCTGCTTGCACAAACAACGCGATAAACAATCATGGAGACTCACCGAAGGATCGTCGATGTTAGCCGAATAACCAACGCAATGTGAACAATCATTCGTACACAATATTCTGTAAAAATATAACAGACCATTTGACAAAAATACACGATCTTCTGCCGCAAGCCCGACCGGGCTGGCGTGATGACGACATGTGGAGGGCGTGTCTTCTTTTGAGAATCAATTAATAAATCAGTGGACAAACGATAAATGTCACTAAATATAATGGGGGTCAGGGACAAGATCGAGGGAAGGATCAGCCGCAGAAAGTTAAAGAAGATTTGCAAACGCAAATGTTCTATTTAAATACAATATTATATATATATATATAGGCTTAAATATCTTGGCGTTGTAATCCCTAAAACTAGACTGGATGAATGGTTGCAAAGGGAAATCTCTATTTTTGAAAGTTTTATTAACAAAAGGGGAATCTTTTTCCATGTGTTTACTCTGTTCCCTTCCCATTTCAATGAGTTGAATTTTCATTTTATTTGGAAGAGGAAAGTTCGTTTTGTTGAAAAAGGAACAATATTAGAAAATTATAAATACGTCTGCAGTCCATAGATTTTGATTGTATGAATGGCATAGATTAAATAACTCATTCATCAAAAACTAAAAATGTTTCGCTAGTGATAATAGTTTCTGCTTCTATATCCAGAAATAATCTATAAATAATATTTTCAAAAGTGAACTCTATAACCTTGTGATTTTTCAATACAGAAACTCCCTGTCAAATTATCAGAATTTCATGATCAGGTTTTTTTATGCTGGAAATTAATTTACAAACATAAATTTTTCCCACATAATAAAATTTGGAACAATATGTACATTTTTAGAAACAAAGAGAACAAAGAGGGTGAGGTTCTGAGTCACAGAAATGTTTGTGAAAAATCTAACTTTGAATGGGATCATGCACTATAACAGGATATTGAAATCTATTCCGTAGGCATTTGTAATGATGTTTAATGTGGTCGCCATTATAAATGACACTTCATCGTGTTGATAAATGGACAAGATTTTATTCAGAGTGAAATACCTAATAAAATAAGATCATTGAACTCAAGATAAATTTCCATTACAAGCTAGTAGAAATAATGTGTATTTTTTCCCCAAGAGCTCTAATATTGGATTAAGAACTATGTTTCTTTCTTTCCCCATACCTCCCAGAGCTAAGAAGTACACTTTAAAAGATTCAATGATATTTTCCCATCTTCAGAGTTTCTTAGACATAGATTTAATTTTGATCACAATAATTGTACATTTTGTGAGGTTGACATTGAAACGACTGCACATTTATTATTTCACTGTTTATTAACCTTCTACTCTGATTCATTTGAGTGGCTAAAAGTTTCTCTCAAGTTGTCTCCAAGTTTTCTAAAAATAATATTTTATTTGGTTTATAAGGGGAAGATGTTAATATTAATTTTGTATTAAATAATATTTAAATTCAGAAATTTTATATTCATAAATGCAAGTGCCTTAAAACAAAACTATTGTTTTGGTTTTCCTAAATTAATTTTGGTAATACTGTAGCCTACATCTTTAAAGTTGGTGAAATCAAAAATTAGGAAGAAGACTGTTTAGTTAAAACAATCTTTTCATAGAAGACCCTGTCGTGTAGGCTAATTATTATTATTATTATAAGGCTGTTATTATTATTATTTGTGTTCTGTTCTGTAAATGTAGGTAAAAGTTGTTAGTGGAATTTGCCTTATTGTATTTGTGTTATAATGTAATAAAAATTAACAATGGTCTTTGGATATATCAGGCGTGACCACAGGGAGCCGCTCGATCCACATCCATTCTCTACCTCACCCCTTCTTTGCAGCTGAGATGAGAACTCAAAATAATATACAAAAAAAAAAAAAAAACTATATATATAATGCCTATATAATGTGGAATAAATTCTGATTTTGAGAAATTCGTTAAAAACAAATAAACATTGCAATTGATTGAGTGTGTCAATTGTTTCACAGTAGAGATGGTTTATTAATAATATTAGTATAAATGAGTGCTTGTTCTAGGTCAGGGAATTTGTTTTAATGAAGTCCTCTGCACACACACGCAAGACGTCGATCCAGTTCTGGGAGGTCCAGGGCCCGGATGCTTACATGCATACTACGATGAAGGACTGTCACTGGCTTATGGATATGAATTAGGAGTAACGCTATCCGCTTATTCAAAACAGTATCTTAACTAAAGAAACAAATTTTCACTAAGATATGTGAATGGACATTCTAGGGTTACTAAGCAACGTCAGACGTTATTAATTTTCATGAAGTAGGCCTTCATCATAGTAGGACTTTCTGCAAGACACAATGCCGCATGTGATCAAAGGAACCAGTTGGTGGCGCTTTAGCGCAACATGATGTACACTGCAAATATGATCTGCCTACAGAAGTCAGATGGATAATTCATTAATAACGAGCACATGGGGTCGCTCTGGTTAAATCAGTGTACATGAAGAATTTCAAAAGCTTGCGTATTAACAAGGCTCACTGTGTCACCGCGTAATATTGACTTTTTCCCTTCGTCCACTTTTGCGCAAAGAGAGAGTGTTGTAAGCGGTCCCTGTGGATATACTGTGTCTTCATGAAGAGTTGAGCGCAAATAGGGGGCGGGTGATGATAATGTGTGAAGAGTGGCAGCAACTTCTCACTACGCGGCAACATTTTCCATTCTTCTTCAGACGATATTCCTCTTCTTTCTAAAGCAGCTCCACGGAGGAAGGTTGGTGCTGGTGTACATGGTGGAAATGACAGGTAAAAAGTGATAACCTGGACAGTCGAATAGGCTCGTCACTGGACGCGTCGCGTCGTTGTTTCTCATGTCACATGCATGGGTTGGTCGCGTTTCTGAGTTATGCAGTCGATTAATTGCAAATGCGAGTGATTAGCACATATTATACACTTTTAGCGCACGATCACCCATCCTAAAGCAGAATTCAGTAACACTTGAGAGTGTGTCAGAGGCTGGGTCTTTGCGGGCAAGGTGAGTTTTCCTTTCATTCAACTGGCCTACAAAGTCCCAGTTTTCGGCCCATGTGACCATCTCTGTCAATTGACCGTGCTGAATGCGCGCGCGAGTGTAGGGTGTGTGTGTGTGTGTGTGTGTGTGTATGTGTGTGTGTGGCCTTTAACCTATCTGTATTAATAATAAAGTGGAATCGGATAGAATAAAAAAAATCTATTCTGTGATTTTAAAATAACGTTAATTAATTTCCGTTCTTAACTAAAAACTTTAAAAAAATATATATTTTTCTTTGTTTTATTTACATTTTATAGCTAAAATGTGCTATTTAGATGCTATTAATAGATTAAAAGTAAATACAGTAGAAAATGAAACGGTCTATCTATAGCTTCACAATATCTGCTACATTTATCTTACAAAAGTACTACTAAGCATAACAAAATAAAGCAAAAATAAATAAATCGGAATGATTTCCTTTGAATGCTTGTGCTTGTATTAGCCAAAACATTTGTGATCTTATATGTAATATGATTGTCCTAAAAGTGTTTTTATAGAAAGTACAGCTATAAATTATACTGTCTTCTTGTTTAGTAAAATAAACTGCATACAATACAGCTCAATTTTTTGTAACACCTAAAGATTTATGGAGTACATCATTTATGCAGATAAAAAAAACTTAATTGAGTTTTTGATAATTTAACGAAAGACACTGACTTCAATGACAATTCAAAATAAATATAAAAGCAAGTACTAGTTTTTGTGAAAGAAGTATGTCAGTTTTCATTAAAGAGTTTACTGTACAGGGAGTGGCGGGTTACAGCTTTGTTAGTGTGTATGGATTCTGGGATAGCTACCAAGCATGTCTGATATAGTTTGTCATATTAAGAAGATCTCAAAGCTGCCTGCCAATAGTTTTCCATTTCCCGATGGATTTGTATATATTGTTCTGGCTGTCACACATCTAGACAGTTGCAAAGGCCTAACCATTGTAAACTAATCTCTTCCAAACAGTACACATGGAAAACATGAAAGAGTAATTTAAAATAGGTAAAAGTTCTTTAGATGCTATCATTTTAGTGTAATACAAGCAGTACGGAGGATTAAAATATAACCAAAGTGCATACAGGATAAAACATACATTTGTTTTTACCAATCATTTCACAAAATACTTCATATTTAATTTTTTTCAAAAATTCCAGTCATGACTGCGTCTTTTCTAACAGCTTTTAATGATCATTTAACTGAAACACAGTGGTATTTGCATTAACTGGTTTGCTTTGAATTTTATTAAAAAGTTTTCCTTTGCATAATTTGAATAGAACAAGAAGGCAACTCAAACTTCTGTGTCATCAAATATCCGCCTAAGTGATGAAGAGATGTCTAAGCTGTAAATGGCATTGCTGCTTTCCAAGAGTTTTATACTTTCTAGCTAAAAAGAAAAGTGGCGTAGTAAAACAGTTTGGCAATTGAAATCAATTGTCATTTAATGCTTTCTAATAATAAGGGTCTGACATTATGCTTGGCCTTTGTCCAGGGAAAGGAGGGATATTATACTCCAGGCTGACCTTTAGTTTAGATTCCTTTGAGTCTATGATATAACTTTAAATGTTAGAGCAGTAAATCTGGACAAAGAAACTGCAAAAAAAGTCAGCAAGAAAAGTGAGGGACTTTTAGGGGCAGCTGTGTTATACTGACCCAGTCATAATGCCCCTAAAAATCCTTATTGCTCTTGCAGTGCTCAACAATTCGCTGCTTTTAAATCAGTCCTAACTCCAGTGTTTATAGAATCTGAAATTTGTTACTACTATTGATTTTTTTCAGGTACTAAACTAGTATGGTACTTTCAATGCTTGATATCTGTTGCACAGTCCAAACATAGCTGCTTTGCTCATTCACATTACATTTTGAAACATTGGCGCTGGGCCATCAGTTGGGGAATTTTTAATGTGAATGGGGAAATACCAATGACATTGCCCAGAATGTATGCGAATTGTTCTCCTGTTGTTAGTTTCGTATTGGTAGAGAGAGTGACAGGTAGAAAGTAGCAGCAGAGTAGCAGAAACAGAAATAGTGAGTGAGGTAAAGGGTGGGAAAGAAAGAAAGAGACAAGCTGATGACTCAGGCTCATACGCTTCATATGTAGGGAGGGAGGGAGGGAGGGAGGGAGAAATGACTCATCAGAGCATGTGGAATCTCATACGGCTATCACAGGATCGAGGTTCTCTCTTCCTCCTCACTGTAGCCTGACTGTCTGAGTTTGGTGAAGACTGCCCACTCTGTCTGTCTCCAGCAACAACCTGCGTCCACAGGGACAGCCGATTCTGGGGCAGCCAGGCCTCCAGAGCTGCTGGTTTTCAGTTTAAAAAATACAAAATCTTAGGATCTGTGCATATTACCATATTAAATCAGCTGAATTATGTGTTTAGTGTACTGTCAATCGATTAAAAAAATAACTAATTAATAACACTGTTTTTTTTTTTTTTACTTAACCACGGTTAATCACGATTAATCACATTTTAAAGACTGAATCTTGTAATTTTGGCTATTCAAATGTAAAATTAATGTAAACGCAAGACAATAACTAATTGAATTCAAAATATAATTGTTTATTAGAATTTTTATTTAACTTGTAACACATATTTCTTCATGTAAACAACATACCCACAATAAACCGTCAAGGTCCTGGCTTGACAGCCATATTTATTACAGAAATTAAAACACAGGCATGTCAGTGCCATTTGAATTTCAAAACAATCAATGCCAACAAAGAAAAAAATGATTTCCAAGTTGGATTCTAAGTGGATTGCAAAAAATGCCCAAATACAGGCATTGCAAATATAGAAAATTATAATGACAATAAAGAATTGGATACAAACAATTGTACTCATTGTAAAGTTGTATTGCTGTGAGTTAAGAACATTAATTATAAAGGAAAAACAATTTTGCTTAGTCCTCCTTTACATTCAGCCAGTTGCTAAAACAGTCCAGTCTGTTGACATTATCGGGGGACAATGTGGACCTTTTCTTTTGAATGATGTGAGCTGTAACTTTTTAATTTAGTGGCTAAGGACAGCGACGTTTAGGCAGGTTTGTTGCTAAGAAACGTGCACGCGCACAGACACACACACTCACATGACAGGGCAGCCGGAGCAACTCGCTTCAGATTCAACACGCATGATCGCGTTCATCAAACTTGCTTAAACTAAGCGTTCTAAAGAATAGCTATATTTCACAAGGGTTCTGAAACATCAACGCGAAGCACACACATGCGTTTAAGGTGGAAACACGTCAAAATAAAACATTGGAGGGCGCATGCTAAAAGGCAGAGGAATGCGCTGTTTTTGACTTCATCTGGCACTTTCTAAGTACATTGACATGGACGCCAACACTCCAATTTTAACATGATTAAGATAATACTTGCTTTAAGAATGTGGTTAAGTTGGTTTTGTTTTCAATATTCCTGACACATTCAGTGATAGATGGCAATAACTCATGTAAACAGCAATTTTTGATTAACTTAAGGACCACAGAGTCATGAAATTAGGAGGTTTTTCCTTCCGTTCGCCATGCGGTATCAAATTCCATTAAAACAGAAGTCGAAAGTTAAAAATGAAACACCCGAAATTGCATGAAACTCTGGAAGAAATGCTGCATAGACTGGTAATGTGACATTAATTGTTTTAAACTGAAACTTGCCTTCAAAAAGTGCTTCCTTGGTATATTCTATATTTATTTGCATGTTGAACACATGTCGACCACAACAGGAAATAAAAAAACTGCAACTGCGTTAATTGCGTAAATTTTTGTTTAGCGTGTTAAATATTTCTAATAAATCGAATTTCTAATTTTGACAGCACTAGTTTATTGATAATAAAACAGCATGTGTATCTATGTACTGTCTAAAAAATTGAGACCAAAACACTAAATGTATGTACAGTGATGATCAAGAAGCTGGTGTTAAAGTGTCTGAAAGCCTATTTACCTTACTGTCTGTAGCAAAAACATTTTTTAGTTTTTGTGTATGGAAGTACCTCCTGCAGCTGATTTTATGATGATCAACAAAACAGAGTATGCTTTATTAGGGCTGGGCTATTAATCATCTGTTAGAACCTATAGTCGATCTAATTATTCCAGGTCAATTTTTTCAATTACTTTCCCTACCATGTGTGGAGTCACATGACCCCACTCTATTTATACTTATCCTTCAAGTCACTTTGGTATGGTCCGGCGCAGCCTCTGCGTGGTCGCATTACCCCTCGCCGTGGCTACTAACAAGTTTAACTTGTCGTAGTGCAAGCTCTGTGATTGGTCGTGTTGACGAGCGTGGGCATTGCTGATAGCCAGAGGAGAGCAGTGAGCCTTTTGGAGCAAGTGTTCACAAGTGTGGAGTGCTGTGGTGGAGCTCCAGATGGAAACTTTTGTTTAAAAATATTAATTTACATTAAATAATTTTTTTACAGAAGATACAAGAAATGCTGCCTATTTTCTACTTTTAATATGAAAACATTGAAAATAATTTATTTTGTTTTTAAAAGTGCGTTATTTATTTACATTTTTCTATAAGAAAAAAGTGATTGTACGGTTTAGGCAATGTGAGTTTTAATTTCAGTTGTTCAACGCTAGGGGCAACGCGGTGGCGCAGTGGGTAGCGCTGCCGCCTCACAGCAAGAACATTGCTGGTTTGAGCCCCGGCTGGGTCAGTTGGCATTTCTGTGTGGAGTTTGCATGGATTTTCTCCAGGTACTCCGGTTTTCCTCACAAGTCCAAAGACATGCGCTATAGGTGAATTAAGTAAGCTAAAATTGTCCATAGTGTATGAGTGTATTGGTGTTTCCCAGTGATGGGTTGCTGCTGGAAGGGCATCCATTGCATAAAACCTATGCTGGATAAGTTAAGTTGGCGGTTCATTCTGCTGTGGCGACCCTAGATTAATGAAGGGACTAAGCCGAAATAAAAATGAATGAATGTTCAACACTGATGTTCAATAAATAACCATAGGTAGTAGATAGTGTTTCTTTTAATTATTTTAAAATCAAGTAATGTATCCCTTATTCAAAAGTCTCTCACTCGTAATGTGATTTACTGTACAAAACTTGTCCTATATATATATTTGTCATATATATATATATATATATATATATACAGTTGAAGTCAGAATTATTAGGCCCCCTTTCAATTTATTTTTCACAGTATGTCAATATTTTTTCTTCTGGAGAAAGTCTTATTTGTTTTATTTCAGCTAGAATAAAAGCAGTTCCTAATTTTTTTTAAGTCATTTTAAGGTCAAAATTATATGCCCCTTTAAGCTATATATTTTTTCGATCAATCATCGTTGTACAATTACTTACCTAATTACCGTAACCTGCTTGGTTAACCTAATTAACTTAGTTCAACCTTTAAATGTCACTTTAAGCTGTATAGAAGTGTCTTGAAAATATCTAGTAAAATATTAAAGATAAAAGAAATCAGTTATTAAAAATGAGTTAATAAAACTATTATGCTTAGAAATGTGTTAAAAATCATTAAATATTAAATATTATATAAAATATTAATATAATTTAAAGGTGAATGAAAATAAATTTGCAATGCTTTCTTAATTGTTAAAGTGAGGTAAAAATAAAATGCAGATAAGAATAATGTTTTTAAAAATATTCAGGCCCTTTTAGTAGGCTAGTATGATAAAAAATATATATATATTTTTGCAGGATTTGCAGCATGTTTTCTATTTGTGTATACATTTTTAGGATTTGCAACATGTGCTGTTAAACCGATGAAGATTTTGCTGGTGTTTTTTCTATTTGCATGTGTTTTGTTATGTTGGAGTGTGTTAAGCTCTCTTGGCCACTGCAGTCATGGTTAAATTCAATTCAAGTTTATTTGTATACAGTAATGATCATTCCAAAAGACCTTACAAAAGTGTTAAAGGATGATCCACTGAAGTGCAGCCCCAACAACCCCAACCAAAGCAAGCCAAAGGTGACAACGACTCAGCGGTCACACAATTGTAAGCACAGGGTAATGGGATCTCATAAGCAACAATTATTAATAAGATAAATTAGGCTGCATTCAAAACAATGATCAGATTAAGGTGTATTAGGAGACACAATCAGAATTAGATTGTTAACTGTTTATGCAATTATATTCTCCTCCTCAAGTCGGGCAAAGTTTGTTTGCCATTGCATATCAAGACAAATAAGCAGGTGAATGTGTGAACATTATACAGTATGTGACCCTGGACCATAAAACCAGTCATAAGTGGCTCTTTTTTATACATCATCAGAAAGTTGGACAAAGCTTGCACTGATGTTTATTTGTTAGCATATAACAATTTTCAATAATATTTAAATAGATCAAAATTGATCATTTTGATCCAAATTGTATTTTTGTATATTTTGTGCTAAAAATATACACTACCGATCAAAAGTTTATGGTCAAGTTTACGTTTTTTTTCACGTTTTTTTTTTCTTGTGTTTTAAGGAAATTAACTTCAGACTAAGCCGAAAATAAAATGATTCAATGAATTATGTTCATCTAGGTGGCATTTATTAATTGTAAAAGAATTGTTAAATTGTTAAATATTTATTACAATTTTAAATACCTGCTTTCGTATTAAATGTAGTTTCAAAAGAAATTATTATTTCAGGCATTATAGCTTTTCATTACTATTACAATAATTATACAAATAATAATATTAAATATTACAGTGATTTCTGAAGAATCATGTGACTCTGAACACAGGAGTA